TTTGGGGTAAGGGCTATTCAGCAAGCACTTGAACATTGATGCTTTCCATGGAAATATTGGCCATGTTAACTTTTTGGCTGTTACTTGGTACTATTTTTTTTTTTTTTTTTTTTGGAAACTTCAAAAACAGTTAGAGAGGCCTCTTCCATTTCTGTTCACACACATACATATTATGCATGTACTTTTTGTTTCTATGTGAGATGTGTATAAAATACAGTTTGATATATAATGTAAATACAATTACGTGTACATACATAAATCATAGTTATGCTTCTCAGATCAATTATAAAGGTAATGTGGCATAAGTGATTCCATTCTAACAGGCCTTTTCAGCTGGCTATAAAACTTACTCAGACTGACCTTTCAGACTGAAACTTTCCACGTTTGGTCACAGCCTGAAAGTGAAAATGGTTCAACCAGTTTTGGACACAGAGGTGTAAAGTGTACACTCTTGCCACAATAAAGAACAATTTTGCAATTTCTGTTTTTCCCTTTGCAGGGCAGAGTGGGAGGCTCGTCTCTCCTCAGATGTGGGAGAAATGTGTAATTTGCCAGAAACTCTAGAGGTGAAGATGTCCTTTTTGGTAGTTGAGTAAAAAATCTCGTTTCAGTTGGCTGCAGTTAGATGGCTTGAAAAATATATATTGTGCCCTGGTTTGTGTTATAGGATAGAGGCTTGTTGTTCTTAAACTAACAACCCCACAATGTTGTATTGGCGCTGCACCTGCTGCATAAGACTCTCATTTAATGTGTACGTGAAAAATGGTGTGTATGTAATGAGGCAGCCTGCAGGAACAACCGCAGTAAGGCTCCTGCAAGAGTTCGTGGCATCCAGCCAGGATTCCCTCATATCCCTGTGGGTCTGCAAGGATCCACTGGCTTTGGGGTAAAACTGCTGAGTTAATTCCAAACCTCCCCTGTCTTTGTTCCCCTTCCACTTCAATTAAGAACACAAAGTCTGAACGCTGAATTTCTCTACCTCTGTGCAAGTGTAACCCATCTAGGGCAACGAGAGTAGTTTCTATAGGAATTTATATACTATTATATTAAAAACACTTTCCATAGAGCCACCTATAGTCTCAGCATAGCATCTCTATAGAAAAGCATCACTTAGCTGGAAATGATCTTTAGAGTAGTTAACTGTGTGTGAACGGTAATGAGCTCCCAAAGTCCAGTTGGAAAACTGGTTAAAAGATGAGTGAGGAAGCTAGGCCCAGAGCAATGTAAGATTTTTATTATGTGCCTTCTTTTTCCAGATGGAAAAATAATGAACATTGACAGGACATTATCAAGTATAAATGACCTGTAAATTCACTGCCTGCAAAGCGTGTAAAATTAATAGGATATTTCTCAGACAGTTGGAGAACCTGAAAATCCAAATAAATGGACAAAACTCTACTCTTCTTAAAACCAGGTTGCATTTTTATTTAAGGGTGTCAGATGAAATTTAAGGTGGTTTCATCAAGTCCAGTGATACAGGAGTCATCAGCAAACCTATGGGTTTTATTTTTTTGAGGCTCTGATAAAACTTTCCCTTCCAGGAATTTTCTTTGATAGCAGTACTGTATTGTTTTAAATCCTGAGCAGGAAAATCAAGCACCTGCAGCAGCTTCTCTGTTCCATTCATCTAGGGCCAAATCCTGATCTCATTTAAGTCAGTGGGAGTTTTGGCATTAACTTCAATGGGGCCAGAACATATTCTGTACACCTGCTCCACCCTTACTCAGTTTTTAAAAAATCCATCTGAAGTCTTTGTCTATCAAGTGATTTTCATGATGTTCTCTTGTATTATTATGTTCTATGTTCATAAGTTCTATGCAAGCAGACCTTCCTCAGAATTCTGCTCTCTAGAAATCTGATAGAGGGTTGGTTTGATTTGCATGCAGTATATGTGCCCTCAGTCTATAAAGCATAGCTGGTAGGTTTCATCTTAGTCTTGCCATTGATGACTATTTCCCCATTAAGGGCTAAGTTGTGTCTGCTGACCACATGCCCTCATTGGGGTTTTACAAAGATGCACCACCCTACGGGTAGAAGTTCTCAGACTCCTAGGAGGAGTGTCCACATTACTGTACTCTTTTAAGGAGTGTAGCGTACTTCCTCATTTTTGGGTACAGCTGGCCAGTACTTTGGGGGAACAAGCCATGATTCCATTCCAGCAGGGCTCCCACAAGAACTAGCTAATGATCAGTCCTTGTGCTTTCATGAAGGCAGTGACTGCAAATCTGCCTAACCCTTACACAGATCATATAAAGTGTGAGAAAGTTCCTTACTTCATAGATTCTAAGGCCAGAAGAGACTATTATGATCATCTAGTCTGGTCTCCTGTACAACATAGGCAATAGAATTCCCCCAAAATAATACCTAGAGCAAATCTTTTTAAAAAAATCCAATCTTGATTTTAAAATTGTCATTGATGGAGAATCCACCATGACCCCCCGGTAGATTGTTCCAATGGTTAATTACTCTCACATTTAAAAATGTACACCTTTTTTCTAGTCTGAATTTGTCTAGCTTCAGGTTCCAACCATTGGCTCTCGTTATACCTTTCTCTGCTAGATGGAAGAGGCCATTATTAAATAGTTTTCCCCGTGTAGGCACTTACAGACTGTAATCAAAAAGTACCCCTTAACCTTCTCCTTTTTAAACTAAATAGATTGAGGTTTGTGAGTCTGTCATTATAAGGTAGGTTTTCTAATCCTTTAATCATTCTCATGGCTCTTTTCTGAATCCTCTCCAATTTATCAATATCATTCTTGAATTGTGGGTACCAGAACTGGGCATAGTATTTGAGCAGTGATCACACCAGTGCCAAATACAGAGGTAAAATAACTTCTCTACTCCTACTCGAGATTCCCCTGCTTATGCATCCCAAGATGGCGTTCTCTCTTCCGGTCACAGTCACACTGGGTGCTCATGTTCAGCTGATTATCTACCCCTCAAATGTTTTTCAGTCACTGCTTCCCACGATAGAGTCCCCCATCCTGTGAGTATGGCCTACATTCTTTGTTCCTAAATTTAGCCATATTAAAACTCATATTGTTTGCTTGCACGCAGTTTACCAAGTGATCCAGATCACTCTGAATAAATGACCTGTCCTCTTCATTTACCACTCCCCCAATTTTTGTGTCATCTGCAAACTTTATCTGTGATGATTTTATATTTTCTTCCAGATTGCTGATAAAATTGTTAAATAATGTAGGGCTAAGAACTGGTCCATTGGGACCCCACTGGAAACACATCTACTTGAGGCTGATTCCCAGTTTTTAATCCATTTATGTGTGCCATGTTCATTTTACATCATTCTAGTTTTTAATCAACGTCATGCAGTACCAATTCAGCACCTTCAGACATCTAAGTATATTATATCAACACTATTACTTTTACAACCAAACTTGTAGTCTCATAAAAAAAGGAATCAAGTTAGTTTGACAGGATCTATTTTCCATAAACCTATGTTGTTTTGCATTAATTACATTATCCTCCTTTAGTTCTTTATTAATCGAGTCTTGTAACAGCCGCTCTATTATCTTGCTTGTGATCAAGGACAGGGTGGCAGGCCTATACTTACTTGGCTCATTCCATTTACCCTTTTTAAAAAACTAGCACATTAGCTTTCTTCCAGTCTTCTGGAAATTCTCCAGTGCATCAAGACTTATTGAAAATCAGTATTAATGGTCCAGCAAGCTCCTCATCCAACTCTTTTTAAACTCCTGGATGCAAATTACCTAGACATCCTGATTTTAAAATGTCTATCTTTTGTAGCTGATGTTTAACATCCTCCCAAGATGCCAGTGGAAAGGAAAGTATGTTATCACCATCTGATGAGACGATATTATCTTTTTTCCCCCCCAAATACAGAACAGAAATATTTATTGAGCACTTGTGCCTGTTCTTCATTATTATTGATAATTCTAGCATTTCCATCTAGTCATGGACCAATACCATTGTCAGGATTCTTTCTGTACCTAATATATTTTTAAATCTCTTCTTTATTATCCTTCTTTATTCTTTATTATTTGGTGAGGCAGATCTAGTGCTAATTAAGATCAAAAGAATAAAGCACAACTTAGTTCTAGTGCCTGTGTGTCCTCCAAGAGGTTTGTCTTACAGATCTACAGTCTAACGTGTGTGTGGGAGAGATGGAGTACATTACACTGTAGCAAAATGGGCTTCCGAAACCCCCTCTACACCTACCATGGAAGTAAACCCTTGTAAGGAAGAATCCCCTACCTGTGTTTTAGAGGGTCTGGAATGCCCTAGTTGGGGAATCTAGAAGAGTGAGGAAAAAATTTACATTTTCCCTGCTCTGGCTGACAGGTACAGAGACCGCTGCTGTGAAAATCTGTAGGAGGAAAATGTAAATGTCTCATTGAAACACAAAGCAAAATTCTCCAACACCTTTACTCCCTCTCCCCATCAACAAAAAACAGTACTGGGCAATAGAGAAAATAATGGGAAAACATAGTGAAATAGAGAAAATAGTGTATAGTTTTGTTTTGTTTTCCAAAGCCTCCTTCCCTTTTTCTGAATTCCAGTTTTCTGTAAATGTCTAGATTTTTGTGTGTGTGGAGACTGCTTCTTAGTCTCATGGGGTGCTTCTGCGTGGGGCTTTAATCCTGCACACGCCAGGAGGGGCTGGGAGGCTTGGGGCTGGCAAGTTGTTTGCAGGCAGATAACCACTGAGATGTGGACGGGCAAGAGAGAGTAACAGGGAATGCTTTGCAGTTTGAAGTAGCAGTGGACAGAGAAGAAGTTAGGCAGTGAACAGACAGGGCAAGTAGGACTTCTATTAAAGCAAAATCTCCTGTGGTTTTTGCCTCTCTTAGATCCATTTAAGTGCTTAAAGTGGCATTGGATGAGAGAGGGAAGGCGTATTTTCAGGGGTGTAACTCAAGAGCTCCTATTGAACAACTGAAATCTTGTATTCTGCACAGGACAGAGGGCCTTGACCATAGTAGTGACATGTTCATTAACAGCCTTCTTTCTTCCTTTCTTAGGTGCAAGTGGGAAATACACCTCAGGACCAAAGAATTGTGGGATACATTTCCTGCACTCATTTGCAAGCTCTGGCAGGTATTGTCTCGATTTCCTTTTCTCAATGTTGTTCTCATTGTGTTCCTAGTTCTGTGCCAGAAGTTTCTCTAATCAAGTGCAAGAGCAGCATATTAGCAAAACATCTTTCCCCATCCTGCATTTGTAACAGTGTCATGCAAGTAGCAAGGGGCTGTAAAGAGAAAATAAGATATCTGTAAAAGCCACACATCATAGATTCTTCAGCCACTTCTTGAAACACAACCAAAAGTTGCACACCAGTAAAGATTTTACTGACGGCACGTTGGGACCTGTACCTGGGCAGCGCTGAGCCCCCACTACACTCTTTTGGCTTAAAAATTAAGAGTGCTCATCACCATGCCGGATCAGGCTGATAGGTATCAAAGCAATTCCCAAGCATTAGCTACAATGGAGAAATAAACCATTTCTTTTCTGAAGCATCTGTTGTTGAGCCAAAACTGTCACTATTTTATATATTACGCTGCAACTCTCACTGTTGCACCAAGAAGAATAAAAAAAAATTGTTGATGACAATACCATAATTGGTCAGGAATTTTCCATGAAAATGTTTGAGACAGAAAATATAATTTTCACAAAATTGAAACATTCTCATGGGAAAATGGAAATATTTCAATTTTCTGTTGGGAAAATCTAAAGAAAATATTTAGTTAGGGTCAGATTAACCCAAATCAAAACACATTTCTGATCAGGCAGACACATTAATGTTGAACTGAGATGCCACAGTTCCTAATGGTAATTGCCTATGGGCCTGGCTCCCTGGCCTGTAGAGGACAATAGTGGCATGAAGAAACCAGACCCCTAAGGGGAATTGGGGGCATGAGACTCCTGAATTCAGCAGCTCAGGGGGACACAGATTACTGTCAGACCAAGTCTACACAAAATATTTTGACATTCCCAAATCAACATTGTCCAGTCAATGAAAATTTTGAATTTTTCATCCCAACTTGAGGACAAAAACAAACTTTGAAATACCAAGTTTCTGATTTTTGACCTGCTCCTATAACAAGATATTTCCCAGAATCCAAAGGTATGGTGTTTTCTGAGACTCATTGTAACACACCAGAAAATCATAATAAAAGTTTATAAATAGAATAACTTCCTGCACCCTGAAAAACCATGCTAAGTGAAGCCGATCAGTCATCACACAGAGCAGTTCAAGTAGAAATCAAAAAGTTGGAAGAAGCCCAGATTCTCTGCCTGATTTTTGCTTGCCATTTCCAACATAAATTGTTAATAAGTTTATGCTCTGTTTAGAAAATATTGCTGGTCCTATTTTAAAAACATGTTCCACTTCTTCAGCTACTACCATATATAGTGCTTGCTATGTTATATGCATTGTTTCATGAAATGATACATGATGCTGGAAAGTAAAACAAACTATCTAAAATAGAATAAAAAGCCCAGCAGTGGCTGGGAGACTAAGAATTGTATATGTTTGAACTCTTTTTAAAAGAATGGGGAAGATGTTCTTTATCAGCAGATTTTTCAGTTCTTCTTAGTGTATGTATCAGTGTGGATCCCACTGTAGGTACATATGCCCCTTATGTACATGAGACCAGAGGCTTGAATAGCAGTGTCTGTCGGGGCTGTGCATGTGCCCTGCATCTCCTTAAGCTCTCTCTGTACAGCGAGACAGAACCTGGAAACGGTCTGACCAACTAAGCTTTACCACCCACTAAGTCTTTTTGAAATTCTTTGAAACGTTCAGAACTTTTCTGATCCACTGATAAAGAACCACCACGAACAAAATCAACCCATCTGGTAGAGCCCGGTAAAATTCTGACCCCCCCCCCCCCCCCCCCCCGCCCAGCAATGCAGATTTGGATCAACCAAATCATTTAAAGAATTTATGTCAATATTGGCTAATTGTTTCAGTTGAAAAACCATTTACAATTAAAAAAGAGAGTCAAAATGTTTGACATTTTCAAAATAAAATGTTTCAACTTCAATTCAAAATGATATTTCATTTCAAAATTACCTTAAGTTTATTTTTTAAATTAAAGGTAGAAAAGCTTGAAATTTAAATAAAACATTGTTTTGGATTGAAAGAATTTTTCCAAATGTTTTTGGACTTATCAGCTAACCAAAAAAATGTCCTACTACCTGGACTGAATGTTGACAGACAGACTGTCTTGTATGCCCCCAGTCGGTACAGAGCACCTGAACATGGCAGATTCTACACCTGCGGACTTTAAGCCCTGCTCTTCTTGCAAAGGATTAATTCCCCTGTAAGATGGATACAGCAGATGCCTCTTCTGTTTAGGAGAGACCCATATACTGGAGAGGTGCTTGGTATGCTAGTCATTCTCACTGAGCATGCACAGTTGAAGTTTCATCTACTAAAGCAATCTATGAAGATTTGGAGGAGACAGCAGAACTCAGATACCAGATAAATAGACTCTCTTGAGTGCTCCAACAAACAAACGTGCCACACCTAAGACCAGCATAGAAAAGAAAATGCCCAGAAAAGACCCAATGCTCATACTGATACCAGCACTGATGCAGAAACCAATGCCTGTGGTATGAAGAGAGACCACCTTGAGCGCAGGCGCAGAGACTCCAGGTGCACTCAATGTCTTTCTACAGGGACAGACCACACACTTTCTGGGAAGAAAATCACCAAGCCCCACATGGCATAAAACCTGGTGGTAAAGAGCAGCCTACCAGCACAGGACAGAGTAAAAACTCCCCAGCACAGACCATGGTACTGGCAACACTCTCTGGTGGCATCTCTGGCCAGACCATTGATAACAGACAGCAAGGAGTACCACGAGGAACCAGACCTGGGTCCAGAGTATCATCATCATCCTACTTCACCACCTAATGACCTTTCTTCATCTTCTGATGAAGCTGTGCCACCAGCACAGGTACTGGCACTGTACTTTGTCATTTCAAGAACTTGTCATGAGAAATGCACAAACCCTAGAAATAGAGACAATGATGATGCAAGAAAAGTCTTATGAGGTATTTGAAATATTGACAACTTCTGGCCTGGCCCGAATTGCCCTCTCTATAAATGAAGGGCTACTCAATCCTGCTAAGGCTCTTGGGCAAATACCTGCCACGATACCACTCGTAGTGAAAAGAATGGGCAACAGGGGATGGATCACTTGATGATTATCTGTTCTGTTCATTCCCTCTGGGGCACCTGGCATTGGCAACTGTCGGAAGATAGGATACAGGTCTGTCTCATCTTACGCTGGGGTTACATTCCGCAGTCAGCGCCTAAAGCGAAAATCGCGTATAGTCAAAATTACATTGAGTGTAATGGCGGGCGGAATTGCCCGCACTACAGAAACAGTATTTAAATTGTTATTTTTCTCTTTTTTTTGTTTTGGTTTTTGCCAACCGCATAAAGCTGAAATCGCACATGTTAAATGCGCCTAAGATGCGGCAGACCTGTACTGGGCTAAATGGACATTTAGTCTGACCCAGTATGGTACAGAGGTACCAAGTCCCTTAAAAAGGGTTTGAGTGTATGACTGACCTTCAGAAGCAGCCTTATCCCATTGGGCACGGTCTGTCATAACACTGGACAGTTGGGTGCTAGAGATCATCACCAATAGCTACCCTCTTCAGTTCCACTCTTACACCCTATTCATCCACCCACCCCTTTCTCATCCTTGTTCGGGGACTCTCCTTGTAAAAGCCTGTTACAAGCAGTAGTCACCAGGTTGCTTCATCAAGGAGCCATAGAGGAAGTACCACCAGAATTCAGGGGAGGAGGCTTCTACTCCTGGTAATTCCTTATCCTAAAGAAGAAAGGGGATCTTTGTCCTATCCTGGACCTGAGGAGACTGAACAAATACATATGCAAGCTCAGCTTCAGTTATACAGTTATACTTGGTTTTCTCACATCTGACAGAGTCAAGATTCCTCAAGGGCCTCCTGCATACCTATCCAACTATGAGAGAACCTGACTCCGATGTAGGATCTCAACATTGTCCTCAAGAAACTCAGGGAGCTTCTGTTCGAGCCACTGTCAGATTGTTCAAAATATCACCTTACTCTCAGGATGGACTTTCTATTTGCTATTACTTTAGTATGGAAAGTCAGCAAGCTCCAAGCCTTTACAGCCAGATATCCCTTACTCATTCTTTCATCGGGACAAGGTGGTATTGAGACCACACCCTAAGTTCATCCCTAAAGTTGTCTTGGAGTTTCACCTAAATCAGTCCATCAACCTGCCAGTCTTCTTCCTGAAAACCCACTTGATGCTGGAAGAGAAGAAGCTACATAAGGTGGACGTTTCAAGAGTCACGTTCTCTTACATTACCAAGACTACGTCCTTAGAGACCAGTTAATGTAATAAATGAAACCGTCTTTGAATAAATAACTGCTTTTAATAAAGAACAGTTGCTTACCCTACAGTAACAGTGATTCTCTGAACATAAGAACAGCCATACTGGGTCCATCTAGCCCAGTATCTTGTCTTCCCCCAGAGGGAATGAACAGAACAGGTCATCATCAAGTGATCCATCTCCTGTCGCCCATTTCCAGCTTCTGGCAAACAGAGGCTAGAGACACCATCCCTAATAGCCATTGATGGACCTAAATGTTGAGATGTTGTAGTTAGCATAGGTCTCACTGTAGCTGTATAGGCTGTGTCCCCATCTTTTGGTAGCCATATCAATCTCATCCAAAGGCCAAGCCTCTTGTGACAGAGAATCTAAGTGGATCATGCAATGTATTTCCACCTGCTATCAGACAATTGCTCCCTCTAAATATCAAGGCATACTCCCCTGGGACACAGGCAGTGGCTTCAGCCTGCTTTAGACACATGCCAGTATCTGAGATCTGCAACATGGAGCAACTCACTGACCTTTCTTAAACATTTTGCCCATGACATGACAGCTAGATCTGACGCTGAGTTCGGGAGAGCAGTTCTGCAGTTGTTATTTGACTGATAAAGCTGAAACGCCTTTTTCCCACCATCTAGTGGGATCCAAACTGACACATACTTGAAGAAAAAAAATGTTACTGTGGTTCTTCAAGATGTT